TACTTAAAGAGCGATGCTGTTATCTATTGGCAAATTTTTCAATTACATAATTTTAATCATTTTGTGTATATATACATTTATTTTTGAGGGGGCGGCGGTCGCCGGTTCGCCGAAATGGTGGATCCGCCCCTGATTCGACCGTCTTGTATGCACGAACGTTTCGTATTGAATTTAATCATTTTCCATTGATGAGTATATGATCGAGCTGATCTTTAGATTTACCATTTGGATATAACCAAGTCCATGATCTTGATTTTGGTTGTGGAAAGCGAGTTTGTGTTAAACGAATATTGCAAGCTTCACAGTAATTAACAAGCCGGTTGCCGTTGTCGTCGGTTGTGTCGTGGTAAGTATATTTGCCGATTGCTCATGGATTGGTTGAGTGACTATCAAAACCTAACTTTACATTTAGATCACCAGCAAGAATAAGGGCTTTGTGTGGTGAAACATTATGAGTGTATTTTTGTCGATGGTCGTAGAAAATGTGTTTGTCTGCATCACTTTTATCCTCTGTAGGTGCATATGCGACTATGATAGTTATTGCTGGATTATCTTTGAAGTGTACTATCATAATACGGTTGGATATCTTTTCTAATGAGAACCATATTATGGATAATCTAGGATTTACCAGCAAGCCAATTCCGCCTTGCCCTTCTGGTGTTGCTGATGAGTACTCGAAGCACCATGTTGTATTGTTCGATGTTTCATAATATATGCTGATTTGTCCTTGTGTTTGCCAACGATGTTCTTGAATTGCTATCAAGTTGATGTTGTTTTCAGTGCACTCATGTATGAGTTGATGTAATTTTCCAAGTTGTTTGAGAGTGCGGATGTTGTAAGTAGATATTGTGATGACCTTGTGAAGAATTTTTGAGGTTTTGTTTTTGGTTCGGATCGCCGTTCCATCATCAAAGACAAGTATCTGCCTAATCATAAGCTTAGATTCGTGTGAAATCTTTGCATGCCGACGACGAGATGAGAGACTATTGTCCGGAATGGGTTCTTCGATTGTTGTTTTCGGAGTCATTGTGAAACACGCCTCAGGTGACTAGCCCTGACATGCTTACCAGAGCTCACCTTAGCCGTCATGAATGACGTTTACATCCGACACTATGAGAAAGTGAAGAGTTGGATTTTGTCGGACCCTTTTTCATATATAGAATTAATTCTATGAAAATCTATCATATATTATAAATTCATTTCAACTCAAGCATTTGAGACGATACTGATCTTCGTGTTGTATATTGCTAAGATTTTCCGATGTATGGCCTAAATGATGACCCTTTCCATCCAGCCTTCCTGTAAGAAATTTATTTTTGCCAATAACAACCGATCTGTCTCTGAAAGAGTTAGGAAATATGTGACCGACTCCTCACAAATGCCAATTGAAAATTTTTGAGAAAAATATAAAATTGTTCATGATTGATTATTAATATGAAGGATAAAGAAGTAGATCTTCGTCTAACAAAGATTGCTTCTCGAAATTAGATCATACAGATTTATCGATGTGAAGCTAACACAGCGTGAAGCTACCGCGACGGATTTAAGTGATCTCTGAGCGCTCAACGGTCGAACCCAAAAGCATAGGACCTGCGTGAGGGTGCTCAGAAGGACCTGTCCAACACCTTCATGCAGGTTCTATGCTGCTGGGCTGCACTGTTGAGCGTTCAGAGATCACCTAAATCCGTCGTGGTAGCTTCACATCGATTACAGATTTTAAGTTGCTTTTTAAATATAACGAAGATTTACTAGTACAATTTAACAAAGCAGTATTTTTAAAATTTTTGTTTTCTTTACTTTTGATGAAGTTTTCTATTCAAAAAATTCGGAAAATCAGGCTATTTATATGAAGAAACAAATTGTTTTTTTTTAAAGTAAAACGGATTGTGAAAAATCCGACTCTGTTAACTTTCTATAGCGCAATTTTCTCTTCAATTAAAAATCTTTCCGATTTTTCTAGTATCAAAAATGAGTGTTGAAAAAAACTCTTTTACACAAAAACAATGAATAAAACAAGAATTCTCTTAGAGAAAATCATGAAAGTGTGTTTTGACATTGAAAATCAATGTTTTTAGTTCGTCATAAAACTATACAAGAAAACTTATTTGAAAGATATTTGAAGTCTATAGACGAGTTCAAAAGATTTTTATCACTGCAAATCGAAAAGCACACTATATATTAAAAGCTTTTCCGAGAAAATATTGTAAAACCTGTATACACTCTATATTTAAATTATATAGTTAATCATAGGACGTTCCAAAGCAGTAAGTCTCTCCTAATCGATTATCTATGTTAAACTCGAAAAATGATAATCTCGACAAAATGTTGAAATTTTTCATGACTGCAAGCCGAACTTGTCACAAAAGCTAAACATTACACAAGGATACTTTGAAACAATCGCCTTTTTATTAATTTAAGTCAATATTGATTGTTGAAAACGGTATCTATATGACATTTTCATTTTGAATAAACATTTTTGACAATTTATCCATCAGAGAAATAAAGATTTATTTCTTTCTATATTATTACTTTTTGTAAAAATATATTCTATATAGATCTAACTAAAAATATTTCTTATGTTTAACAATAAATTGTTTGATATGTCATTATATAAATAATAAAAATAGTTCGATAAATGATAATATGAATAAAATAGATTATTATTATTATTAATCTATGATAAATAAATTTATTTTTCTTTAGATATTTTTTTTCTTAATAAACTATTTTAGTAAAATATTTATTGATCACATTGAAAAATTCATAAAAAAATATTTTTAGCTTTTTATTCAGATTTTAATCTAATATGTTTTATTGTGACTTTTTCTTTTATTATTTAAATATAAATAAATTGATGAATAAATAAAAACAAACGCATATATAGAAATACAATGAAAAAAAAGAAAAAACTGAAATATTTATATATGATAATACGATTATTATTTAATATTGTTAAATTAGTAAAATGTCTTTTGATTTTTTTATGATTATTTATCTAATAAATTCTTATTATTAGTTGAATCATTTGATCGATTAAGACGTTTTAATTTTTTGATTAAAACATCTAAAAATATTTAAAAAAACAGAAAACAAGAAAATTATTTTATTTTTATTTTTTATTTTTTTATACTTCTAATACGTCTTAATTCAACAAAATCTTCTTCAAGTTTTTTTCTACAATCTTGTTCTTTTGTTATTTCATTTTTCAGATCAACTAAACAAAATAATTCATTTAAATTTCAATGGAAAAAAATTTTTTTTTTTGTTAACCAATTTCATTTTCCAGTTGTTTTTCGTGTAGACGAGCATTTTCAACAGTTAATTCAATCATATTGTTAATATGAAAGAAATTGACTGGTTCTTTTGTTATTTGTTCTATTGGTAATATTGATGATAATGATGATGATGATGATGATGATGGTGATGATGATGTCTGTTCGATAGTCGTCATTGATAGATCAATAGGTTTAGTTAACTTATCTTATATAGTTTATCATAAATAGGCTTATCTATATTATAATTAATTAACAATCAACTTACCTCGATTATTACAAAGCATTGAATCAATTGTAAAAGATCGTGATTGATCTATAATAATAAAAAAAGAAAAAACAAAGAAGATATATTAAATGTGATCTTTTCAAATGATAATTAATTTAAAAAAGAAATCATTGCTTAAGGGCATCTATTGTAGTTCTTTTGTGACATGATTTAATTTATTTTGCATGTCGACAATAATCTACATGAAAAAGGAAACCATTACTTTCGGTCTGTCTGATTCAAAAAGAAAAAAAAAAAAACAAAACAAAAGAAAAGAAAAAAGAAACATCGATAATAAACATATTTGAAATAGATTTTGACAATATTATTAATAATAAAGAAGAAACAAAAAAGAAAAATTGTTAAAACTTACTTGAAGATATTGATCGATTTGATGTTGTTGTTGTTGTTGTTGTTGTTCGTCTATTATTTGAAATATATGAATATGGAAATGTTGATCGACATGATAATGTATTTATTAAAGATAATTGATTTTGATTTTTTGATAATTTTGATAAATAATTATTTGAATCAATTTGAGATTTTAAATCCGAATATGATCCAACATATATATTTGATCTTAAATTTTTCTCTCTATCCAATGAAGAATCATCTGTTTTATAGAAAATATTACGTTTTGGTGGTCGACCTGGTCGGGAACTATTTACATTTTGACAAAAAACATATATTTATTTATTCATTTTATTTAAAATAATATAATAGATATATATTATTTTACCTTGAATTGGTACAATCTTCATATAAAATATCGAATTCATTTGGTGCAAGAAGTTTACATCGATTAACACCTGGTTGTATAGCAGCAAGACTACGTAAAATTCTAACTTGTTCAACATTACAAACAATAGGAATAATTTGTAAACGTTTTAATTTCGTATAAACAGTATGTAAACCACCAACTAAATGTTTAAGAAAAAAATCAAATGCTTGTGGTAAACATATTAATTGACGACCATCAACATTAAATGATGTTAATTTAATACCACGATAATTTATTATTTTAACTTGATTATTTTCAATTGTATTACGTGCAACAGGTGATGATTCATATATTGGTTTTTCTAATTTTAAGGAATTTAATCGTTGATCATTTTCATATTCATAATGAAGAGAATTTCTTGATGATGAATAACCATTTATTGATGAATTACTATCATTTGTTGAACTATGTTCTTGAGACATAATGTGCATTTCGTTATTATTAGACAATTAATAGATTTTTTATTCAATTAAATAACATAACTGACAATACAAAAGCATCACAAATAAATCTTTCTTTCTTCTTTTTTTTTTTGTTTCTCTTGTTCTTTTCTTTTTTTTCTTTCCAATTTTTTGCTGGTCGAATTCAATGATTGGTGCTAGTTGAAAGAGAAACATTACTGAGGAGGAAAGGAGGAAAAAAAACGTCTCTATCTATAAATAATATGTTTTTCCTCATCTACCAATGAAAGATATAAAATAGAAGAAAAAAAAAAAACAAAATCGTAAATAATTACTGATGTTAAATATAACTACCATCGAGATCATTTTCATGTCAATTATTATGTTTGAAGAAAAGAATCTTATTTTTTAAGAATTTTTTCTTTTCTTTTCTTTTCATAAAATAAAGTCATTAGGCGATATTATCTCAATATATCTTTATACTGATAATCTTGACTTAAGGGCTTCGAATACATGATTAACTAGAAAAAAAAAAAACAACACCTGCTGACGTTGACAAATAAACTCATTTATTAATCAATCATATTCAGTCAATATATATGACATTATCAACATTATAATGAAGAACGACATAGATATTGTTTTATAATTAAATAAGCTTCTCTTTTTTTTTTCTTTCTTTTTTTTCTCATTTATTAATTTCAATAATCATCAAGCAAACAGATTTTCTCTTATATTTTTCTATTATTAAATTCAAGCATAAAATGTCTTTTTTCCTTTTTAAATTCTTAATAACAGATGAATAAAACATATACATTCATATGATAAATATCTTTTATATCATATAGAAAGACATTTCATTCATTTATTCAAAAAGAAAAAAACAATTATTAACAAACAGAAATCAATTCTCTTCACACTTTACACAAATTAATGTATTCTCATTATTCAATTTCATATTGAAAATTTACACATTTTTCCATTTTGCTTAATTAAACAAACAAAAATTTTTTTTTTACTAAATTATTTTATCAAAATATTAAATATTAACTAAATTCACAAATATATTCCAACAATCAAGCTTTTCATACATGTATACATATATGTAAAAAGTGTAGACATCGATTTATCATACGTCTGATAAAAACATATGATTATCAACTTTTAATACGTATGTTATGATCAATAAAATTTTTGAAAAAAAAACGAAAATGTGAATGTATTAAATAGATTAATATTAATTTGAGCATTTTTTTATCACCAAATTTATAATTAGTTAGAAATTATTTAAAAAATCGAGAAAAGTATTCACAACACAAAACAGAAGAGTGTGATTAAGTGATATATAGCGTGTGACTTTCTGTCTCGCTACAGAGAAAACTCGAAATCCGATTCTCATTCTCATTCTCATTTTCACTCTCATTCTCGCTTCACACCAAAAACCACACAATTAGTATTACTTGAACATTGTTTTTTATGTTCCATGCTACTATTGAAATTCATTATGATTATTTCAAGCTAATGAACTCATTTTAATCACATGTTATTACAAATATTGACTTTCGATGTATGAGAATATTCTTTTCGCTTTATAATTGGCTAATCTCTTCATTAATTTGTTTATCAAAACAATCATTTTTGGTTTTGATTTTGATTTTGCTTATCATTTTGTAGTTACACAATTTTGCTGATAAAAACACATTTTCTCTTAATATTATCATTAAACTTTATTCGTTATAGATAAATTTATCGTATTTTTAGGATTATTTTATTGTTAATTAATGAAAAAAACATTTTTAGCTGATAGTCTTATTATGTGTTATTCTGTTTAACCTATTAAGATTTTATCTTTTGAATAAAGCGTTTTTCTTTTGTGTTTTTTATTTATAATTATAAAGAAAATAGTTCGATAAGGTATTATTCATTAACGATCTACAGGTAAATAATCGTGTTTTGTTTTTACTTTCTCTCCTCTATCGATCATAATATAGTTTCATCGATCCTCTCTCTTTATATAAATATCTACTATAATAATAAAATAGTTTCATAAAGAGTTTCTTTTTGTTTATTCAAATATATTGTTTCAGTTTAATTAAATAAATATGAATTATACATTGAATATTAAAAAATATATATGATAAACAAGAAAAAATATATGAATCTGTATGAAATTTGTTCGTATTTAAATGGATTTGATTATTAATGATCATAATATATTTAAAAGAAAAAAATAATCTTTTACAGTTTAATGCTATTTGAATATCTAACAACATCGATATTTATATTCAGTTGATTTTATATTTATGAATACTTTTCAATATAATATTATATTTTATGTTTAGCCGAAAATAACCTTTAACAAAGAAAAATATTCGTTGGAACTGTTTTGATGAAGAAAAATGTTTCAGCTCCAATTGTCTTTGTGAAGAATTGTTCAGTTTTTATGAATTTGCCTTTTTTATTCTGTTAATCTAGATATCGTTTATTGGCTAATTCTTAATTACGGACTAGTTTTTTTGTCAATTAAGAAAAAATGTCTATAAAGCAGAATCGGGTAGGGGGGGGGGGGGGGGGGGGGAATGAGAGAAAAAAGTTACAGTAAATTGGAAAATGTTTGCATAAGGAAATCAGCATGCTACTTTATTTTTGAAAAAAAAACATGAAAAGAAAAGAAACATTTAAGATTATTTACGTATATAATCAATGTTATCTTTTTCACATTGAGAAAATATCTTGATATATCGATAAGAGAGAGAACGCCTTTGTGTATGGTTATGGTAGCATTACATTAGTTACCTTTTCTCTGTAAAGATTTAATACCAATTAAATATAATTATCTATGAGATTATTATTAATTAATAAGAAATGTTTAAATATTTCAAATAAATAAGTTTTATGAAGAATTTTTCTTTTTGTTAAATTTATTAAAATAATTATGTTTCATTGAAAAATGTGAATCTATAAGATAATTATCAATTTTGAAGATATTGATAAAAATAAATATAATTAAATTAGATTTTGAAATTTATAATTTGATTATAGTGAATAATTACATTTGATTTTAATGATTAATTATCGTCAATGTAATGCAAAAATTGAATGCAAAAATCTTTTGAAAATAATTTTATTTTTAATATTATAGTTTATATTAAATTTAATTTCAAATAAGTTAAATCAATAGTTATTTGTTTTAATGAATTTAACCAGAGTGAAATGTTTTTTATTATTAGTAAAGATACATTTTATAGTTATGTTTTATTTGTTTCTAATATAGATATTGTCATGATTAATATATTTTAAATATATATCGACAATACATATGTTACAGATCATATCCAGTTAACAAGTTTTATTTTACAATTTTATTTTATTATTTACAATATTTACTTTAATTGATAACGACAATAAGATTTTATTTTAATATGAAAAAAAAAAAATATTTTATTTAATTATATATTATTAGGAAAGTTTTATATAATAAATATTAAATCTTGAAAATATATAATAACGCGTCAAAATATATATATATATATATATATGCTAGCGTTCAATCTCGGATTCAGACCAATCTTAGATCTACCTAGGTCAATGTTGGATCAGAAAATTTTTTTTCATTAAAACTTCAATTAGTCTTTTAGTAGATGTTGAATTCGAATTCTTTTCGGGAAATCGTATTGAGATAATGGTAGCTCAACTATTCGAATAATAAATCCAGAAAATAAATTACGACTAAATATTTATGAGTAATTTTTAATAAAATCTCTTATTTTATGAAAAAATTCCCGATTAATTTACAAATTTTACTCTAATTTCTTCATTGATGACCTTAACGCTTGCGACACTCTCGTTTCAAAACGATTTTCCGAAAAGAGTTCGACTTCAATATCTACCAAGAGACTAATTGAAGTTTTAACGAAAAAAGAATTTTCTGATCCAACATTGGTCTAGTCCAAAGTGAGAGTCCGACATTGGTCTAGGCAGATCTGAGATTGTTCTGAATCCTAGATTGGACGTTAACATATATATATAAATATTATTAAAAAGTATAAAAACCGTCAAGTTGTCATTAACCGATATCGATTATATGTTCAAGTTTATTATTTTTTTTAGATATGGTTTGTATGTGAATCTGAATATAATTAATAAAAATATGTTTGATTTATCTATATGAATATGATTACATTTCTAGGAGTCATTGTACGAGAACCGCGACCAATTCTAATATAAGCTGTTCAATGATTTTCTCCGATTTTGATTTTGATTAAAGCAATAGATAGTACTACTAAAGTTAGGTATATGGGAAAATTTTCAATGTTCAATACCCTTCCATTGCTGAGAAATAAGGACTTCATTTCTACTACCCCAGCGATAGGAACCATTGTAGACGTTATTTTTTTAAATCATGATTTAAAAAAATAACGTCTACAATGGTTCCTATCGCTGGGGTAGTAG